ACTCCCTTGGCGGTCACTGGGTACTTCCGATTACCGCTGCCACCGAGCCCATCCAATTTTTGTATTTTATGGCGACACGATCTATGAAAATTAACCGAATGCACGGATTTTGACAACTCGGTTGACTGTGTGCTAGCCTACGAATACAGCCACATTGCCTACTGCCCTGCAACAAGACTATTTTTTTTTGCTTCACTTGTAATAGGTTTTCGGAATTGTTCTGTAGCATAAACAAGGGGAATCGAAGTTTTACACAGACCATGGTAAAATGCCACCTGGCCCTGATAATAAGAAACGAACCAATTTTGTAGTGAAAACATTTATTTGCATGGAAGACAATTGGACAGTGCGCAATTACCTGTATCCCAAATAAAACCTCTACTCAAAATCGAATTTAGCAGTTTCTAACTAATGACACTGGAAATTATCCTTAATAATATTTTTAGCCGTAAATCGAAGCGAAAGAAATTATTGAAATCTGTTGCAACAAATTGTGAAACCAATTCATCATCTACCTTTGACAAGTTTAATTCGGGTTTTTGAGATCTGAGTCATGCGAAAGAAATTGAGTGCGTAGTGTTATTCAATTTCGTCTCAGTTTCATTCACAGGGTTTATTTCACTTTTCACTCTTGTAAAATTAAATATTAATACTTATTCGTTGTTAACATACTGACGTTTGACACTCACCTGGCCGGTGAGATCGTCAGGGACGGCAGAATTAGTTATTTTCCTTCGCACTGCTCTCAATATAACTTTGCTTATCAAACGTTTTACATAGACATTGCGAAGTTCTTGTTTTTGTCGGTAGAAAGACGACATTTTATGTAGATTTAATCGTTAAGTGAAACTTCTTGACCCGAGGTACAAAAGAACATCATAAACAATGACAACAGAAAGTGATCCACGTTCATTGGCGACGATTTGCTTCCAAGGAACGATTTTGGGCTTTATCATCTTGGCGGCCATAATGGGGAATACTCTTATTTTAACATCGCTGTACCGTTTCACCTGCCTTCAGACTAAAACGAACGCCTTTGTTCTGAATCTGGCGATCGCCGATTTATTTCTTGCCGTTTCTGCAATGCCGTTTACCCTGGCCACGTCCATTAAATACGACTGGATCTTTGGGAATGTCATGTGTCAGGTTACCGCCGTATTGAACTCCATTTTCTGTGAAGCTTCTATAATGACCCTAGCATTTGTAAGTCTGGAGCGGTTTCTCGCGATAGTTTATCCTCTGGAATATGAAAGGATGGTCACATCGAAACGCGTAAAATTTGTCATTGGTTTCATCTGGTCCGAGGCGATTTTCTGCGCGAGTTCCACCTTTGTCTTTTCCAGATTTACCTTCTTAAAGTTTGAGTCAATATGCACCGTTGACTGGGGTTATAAAATGGCGTACACTCTTTTATTCGCGATTCTATTTTTTTATGTACCTTTTCTGGTCACAGCTGTTTTGTATTGTTTTATTTTACACACAGCGATTAAACAACATAAGCGAGTCGCCGCCATAAAAGTTGGGGAGATAGTTCTTGATCACCAATCGCAAAAGCGCGATAAAGCGGAACAAGACAGAGTGGGAGCAAAATGGACTAAGAAGGAACACAAGGCGACTATAATGATAGCGATAGTGGTGGGGACGTTCTGCGTATGTTGGATCCCTCACTCAGTCAGCGTTTTTTGCCTTCTAGATTCAAATTGTCAATGGCATGACTCCTTTTTTATAATCACAACTTGGTTGGCCATGCTCAACAGTGCCATGAACTCGATAATTTACGGTTTGATGAACCGAAGCTTTCGCCGCGCGTTTAAGAGTATCTTGTTTTGTGAACGGTACGTAGGTAACGCGGATCTGGTGACAAATATTCTGCAAGAAAGAAAAGAGAAAAAGAGCTACGGGAATGTGTCAAGTCTTTGTTATAATACTGAGAGGTAAAACAGAACATTTTCGAAGACCTTCGAAGACCTTGTCTCAGCAAGTTTAATAATTTTAAAGGAAAACAATTTAATTTAAGATTATGGCCAGCTAAACAGCTTCCAAATGATGTTTATTACTCTAAGAGACTTTTTAAATGCAACAGGCAAAACATTTCAAGAATCAGGCAATGAAAGGTTGTTTTACACCTAGCTTTAAAGCGTTATAGATTAGTATGCGCGATATTCAGGATTGGTCAGTGGACTCTTAGTATTTCTCCATACGTTGATGCACTTATAACACCACTAGCCATTGGCAAAATAATTTGCATTACACCGGATCAGAAGAATACTGAAAACACCCAAGAAAGTGTTTATTAACCCCTGAAGGTATCTTTTACTTAACTTTCATTTGGTCATTTAGCTAACCGTTGGAAGTGGGACCCTCGGGCGCATAGGGCTGCCATCATACTTTTTGCAACAAGTTTGCTTATCTTAAAGGCAACAAGTTTTTGCCGAGAATTTATCGCGTTTTCCTTAGGCACCTATTCTCTAAGTTACAAAAAAAGCCACCGCGAAAGACCTTGCTTGATTAGTGTGCTTAAGCAAACTTAACACTTTTTGCTCTTTCAATTTATCTTCGCCTATCTGTTTACACCTTCAATTCCGGATTAGTATGATGACAGTAGTTTGTCCTTTCTTGAGTCGATTCTCAGTACGTTACGCACGCAAACACGCAATTATAGAATATTTGTTTTGTGCAGCTGCTGGCTCAGTAAGCTTCGCCTACATCATCGACGTCTCAGCTCTATTTCCATTATTTAGATTCTAGCCTTGATCTTTTTTGAGCCTCGAGGTAATTTCCTTACCTCTAATGGGGTGCAAATTATGACCATGCCAGCAGCAGGATCCCATCAAATTGAAAGACTGTCTTGGAAGGAAAACGAAAACCTTAAGTACACAAAACGTGCTGTATTTTACAACTGCTAATGAAAACGGATGCCATCTTAGAGGAACTTGAACCTTACTGTTTGTCACGTATGCGATGACTCAGAGATACGGCACAAGCACAGGGCTTTTTTCCCTTTAATGTATCTTTAATTTTTTTCTTCTAATCCCCTTGTTATACTTACCCTGCGAGCAGACGTTTCTCTCTTGCATGGCTTTTAGCGTTAACAAAGTCGTTCGCGTGGCTAGTCTGTCTCGTAGTTGGTTTGTTTTATACGTCCCAGACTAGGCGAAACCAAACCAACAAAACAGCGCGACAAACAATCCACGGGAACGACTTTGTAAACGTTAAAAGCCATGCAAGAGAGAAACCTCTGCTCGCAGGGTAGAGTATACTTTGATGTCCACGTGATTTTATAATCCTGCTTAAGTCCTTAAATATTATTATCATTATTATTTATAAAATAACTGAGATAGTACCCGTGATCTGATTGGTCAAAAACCTATGGTTTATTATACCGGTAAACCCATAGAAAAAGGACGGACGGACGACGAGGCATAAACAAAACTGGCTATTGATCTGCAAACAATGATTTTAGAAAAGCTAAAAAACAGAACAAGTTACTTACCCAGCCCTTCAAAAGCGTTGGTTTCCACATTTTATTACTGCCAGAGCTTTAGAAGTAATAAAGTACAAAGCTGGAAAGCAGTTTACATTTCACGACGATGCCAAATCGCAGAGAAAGACAACAACTGTGTGAATTTCTGGTGTAGAAAGTCTCCAGGAAAACTTAACCATGTGCCAAAAAGCAACAAAACGGATAGCTTTAGCATTCTTGATTTATTTTATGTCAAAATTAAATTCCTTAATGAAAGAAATTGTTCCAAAAAGAGATCTCTGATCAAGATACGGTACAAAATCGACCGCTGTAGGTTGTAAACAAGCTGCCAACGATGATGAAAGATATAAGAGTTTCCGGCTGGTTTTTTCCAACCTTTGCACAAATCATTCGGTGATATCGATACCATAACCTACCTCAAACCACCTGACTTTACAAATCGACAAATATTAACGCCAATATGTGGCTACGGCAAAGAAACCTTTCTCCACCACTAACATATTTCCATCGGTCGCTGTACGTGCATATAAAGTTACATGCGACAACTTCGCAAATGCACCACGTCGTTACGGCAGCATTTCTTAATCATAATAAAGTCCAGAAAACAGATCTTAAACCACTGCGGCTTGTAAAATGTGAATGAAGTCCTCCATTACAATAGCTGCCAGTTCTGTCTGTAAGCACGAAATTCTTACGGATCGACTCAGCAAAATACAGCTGCGTACAGTCTGATGTTCAATTAATTTCTACTTCCGTAGTAAACAAACCATGAACGTATTCTTTCATTGTAGACATTGTACGTTCGAATGAATAAATGTTGACTTTTCATAAGTTATCATGTAATGAGTGCAAAAACTCGTGTTTTGAAGTGCTGCTGTTTGTTGTTTGACTGAACTGAGTTTTGAGAAAGTTCAGAGCTATTAAATCGTGAGTCATGATTGGCTTATGATGACTTTAGAGAGAAGGCATGACTTGATCACGGTACTAAAACCATATTTTTTACCTAAAAGACTCCATTCTACTAAAAGTTATTTTATAAAAGCAATAGACCACACTTTCTATGGGTTTACCGGCGTGATAACCCACTTGGGATGTTGGAAGAACACTCGAAAAGCTTGTAAATCACTCGCCTTCGGCTCGTGATTTACAAGCTTTTCTCGTGTTCTCCCAACATCCCGCGTGGGTTATCACGCCGGTAAACCCTAGAAAGTGTGGTCTATTGCTTAAATATAAGATCTACTAGTGAAATTGCGAGTGATTTTCTCTCTCAACATCCCAGTCCAAACCATGGACTTTGGGAGGCAAAGAGGGTTTCTACTTGATGGAGAGGTCCCGCCTGAGAAGGTGGGCTGTAGAAAGGAGAGTTATTTTCTGGAGTTCATGTATGTTGATGTTACCAGGGAATTTGTCGGTGTAGTTTTGCATGTCCTTCTTGATGGTGCCAAGGGGACCCATAACCACCGGGACTGTTGTTGTTTTGAGCCTCCACATTTGCTAAAACCTCCATTTCCAAGTCTTAGTATTTCTTAAGCTTTTCCGTGGTTTTGACTGAGGTGTTGGTGTCGACGGGTATAGTCATGTCAATGAGAAGGTAGGTTTTGTCCTTCTCGTTTTTTAGCACAATGTCCGACCTATTACCTGCGATGGTGCTGTCAGTGTGGATGGGTAAGTCCCAAAGAATGGTGACACTGCCCTTCTCGGTGACACTGCCCTTCTCGGTGACAGTCTTGATGTTCGCCTCATAATAATAATAATAATAATAATAATAATAATAATAATAATAATAATAATAATAATAATAATAACGAACCAGAGACCGTGATACACAATAAAGATAACAACATCACCATCATGTGGGACATGCCAGTCAATACTGATAGAACTATAACAGCGAACAGACCAGATATCATCGTTAAAGATTCAGTGAATTCCACCTGCAAACTTATTGATATGACTGTTCCATCAGATAGAAACATCGCACTGAAGGAAACTGAAAAAAAAATGCAAGTACAAAGACCTAGAACTAGAAATACAGAGAATGTGGCATATGAAAACCGTAGTGATCCCTGTGGTTGTTGGTGCGCTTGGTACAGTGAAGAAGGGTATGGTAGAAAACATCAAGAAAGTATCAGAGAGAGCTACTATGACAGAGATTCAAAAGATCTGCATGCTGGGATCTGCACGAATCCTCAGAAAGGTGCTCAGTGTATGAACAGAATGATTGACTTGAGTGACTGACGCTCTAGGTGCATGGTTTGCGCCCGGCTGATGCACAAAAGAACACCAGCAAAGACTGTGATAATAGAGACAATAATAATAATAATAATAATAATAATAATAACAATAACAACGATTTATTATTTGACAGTATTTCTACATGGTATCTCTACATCCGTCATACTACCTAAAAACTAACAACTTACATGATGTTATTCAAAAATCATTCACTATTTACATAATGCACTTAAAAACTGTTAAAACTATATAATCTAAAATACTATAAATACTATGAGTGACCATAACCAAGAAACCTTATCAAGACAACTTATGAGGTTAAACTTAAACGCGTGTTGGCCTCATCCTCTGCGGGTGGTATTGCAGGCACTCCTAGTTCCCGACTGAACTTCACTGACTGTCTGCTGATGGAGTACAAGGATTTCCTGTGGTTATGGTTTTTGACAAAGTGGAGGAGGGTGTCCTGCGTCTTCTGGATATTTCTCAAGAGCGATAGTGCTCGTTTTGTAGGAAAGCTCCATGTGTATGAGCCCTCTACCTCCTTCGGTTCGGGGCAGGTACAGCCTGTCCACGTCAGATTTGGGGTTGTGCATCTTGTACATAGTCAGGAACTTCCTAGTCTTTGTATTAAGTTTGGTCAGCTCTTGAAACGTCCAGTTTATGATGTTAAAACTGTAAGTTACCAAATAGTACTGCCAAGGTGTTGATTGCTTCCAGCTCATACTTGAGTACCATCCGGATCCTGCGGTAGTACTCTATAAATCCTGATCTTGTCTTTCATCTGAGAGTGCTGGATTCGGTCTCCCTCGCTGAGTCCGAGGTACTTTTAGGTACCTTCCTGTTCTAGGTCCCGGATGACAGTGTTGACGTCGAGCTCGATGTTACTGGATTCGGCTAGTCGCCCTCTCTTGAAGGTGGCCTTGGCGCAATTGTCCAATCCGAACTACATGCCTATATCTCCACTGAGAGATTCGATGGTTCTCAGCAGGCCCGTTTGCTTCTCGTCATCTTTCGCGTAGGTCTTCAGCTCATCCATGTAGAAGACGTGGCCAATCTTTCCACGCGGGGTGTTGTACCCGTAGCCCCTCTTATTCAGAAGGGAGCTTAGAGGAGCAAGACTCCCTGATAGAAGCCACTATAGATTTCGATAGGTCTGGATGTCATCATGCCCTTATTGTGGTTTAGGTGGAAGATTGTCCTCCAAGGCTTCATCTTTTCCCACATGAATAAGCTCATAGTGGGGCAGATCTTGTAGAGTTCGAGTTCGAGTTCTCGACGATCCAGATGTGTGGGCCTTTTTGTAGTCGATCGAGGTCGTGGAGAGGTTGGTGCATGCAGGTTTTTCTTGGCTTGGTCTTCGATCCAGTGGAGACCATCGTTATGGGTCTTGCTGTTGTCCCATATTTTGCTCAGAATGCCTCGACCTCTTCGAGTGAGGGAGGGCTCTGGATATTGATGGCTTTCTTTCCCAGCTCTCTGTAGAGCTTTTTGGCATTGTTCCTATAGGTGTTGTCTTGCCGAAAGACGTTCGCCCTTTTGGTGTGTCGCCTGAGTCTCTGTGCTTTGGCCTGGAGTTGTTTTTTAAGAGAATCTTTTGTTTTGGCCATGTCGTCTTGGTTTTTTAATGCCAAATTTCTTCCTGATTTTGTCAGCTTCGGCATATCTTACATTAGATTCCTTTTGTAGTTCTGCGATGATGGAGATGTTTGTAGTGAGCTTTGTTATTTCCAGTTCAATTTTGTCCCTCCATGTTTTCTTGGGTTGGAGACCTACGCGCTTTTTAGGCGCTCGGTCTACCATGTCAATGATGGTCCATGCTGTTGCATATAGTAGGTTGTTGATCTAGGTGATGTTGAGATCTTGCCCTTGTTTGATGTCGTTTAGAGCTAAGTTTGCCCGTTTCAGCGGATTACTCCCACATTGCTGTTGATTTTTACTTTTGGGACTGGTTTTCTGTTCTTCATGGCCATCTCTTTAATAATTTCTCTATTTTTTCTGATAAGGTTTACCACTTCTGCAATTTTCTCGTCCTCTGGGGTCTGTTGGGCTGCCCCATTTTCCTACTAGTTTCGTCTTTCGGTATATTTTCGAAGGTTTGGTGGAGGTTGTATTGGTTCTTGTGGGGGATCTAGCTGGGCGTGGACGTTGTTTGTCCACCTAATCCTGTCTAGGATTTTCTGAAGCTCTGTTGAAGTGAGCTTTTGCTGTCTTTCTATACCGCCGTTGGTTGGCCAAGTTTTTAGCGTCGATGTCGGGTTTGGAATCTCGGTTCTTATTGCGGCAAATTTTGTAAGTTTGGGTCGTTTTGTCTTTACCTGGTAATAGCTTTGCGGTGTAGTAAGCTTTCTTGACTCCAATATACCCTTCCCTTCGTATTTTCCCCTTCTGGTTCTTGTCGCTGAAATGGTGGTAGCTGGTCGAGGGCCACTGTGACGAGTATCTTAAGCGTGAAGTTCCTCTAGTACTTACTGGGGAAAGTTTGCTCCCGTAGCATACTTTTCGATCTCAGCATGGTTCCAAACCGAGGATCGCGGCCCTTGTTCATCCGCGCGACGACCGCTGTGGCATGAAAATCTATTATCTCTACTTGTCATGTCATGATACTTTGTCATAACCCTGACGGGGTTGGCTTCGGGGTTACAAACACTTGCCAAAGGTGTCACCCTAAACTCTGGTGGGCGGGGTCGTCGTCCATGTCCCCGTAGTGGGCTGAGGTCCAACCTGTCCCACTTGTCATGCCCATTTATTAATTATTATTATCATAGTTCCTGCTTAGCCAGTTAAAAGAACAGCTGTCGGGCCAAATGATTTACCTTGTTGGTTCTATCGTGACTTTGCTTATGAGCTTGCTCCGCCGGTCATAACACAAACAGTGTTCAGTGCAGACAACCCCGCTTAGGAATAACACTGTTTCTTTTCTATGGGAGGAGGCCAATATGACACGTCAACCCAAGAGTTCCTGGAATCAACTATGCCCTGTCTTTTTTACCAACTGAAGATAATTATGAGGGTCTTCTAACAATTGGTATGCAAGTACGAAATACGAGAACAACAACAACAACAACAAGTTTATTCAGTATCAACATTTTGAATAGGTGCTACTGATTAAAATAAAAATAAACGGCTAAATTTAAGGAAATGAAGATATAATGGAATGGTAGAATTAATTATGTAAATACCAATTGTATGTTCTGATTATTAATCCTGATAAATTTCTCTGCAAGCCCAAGCAACCCCGTCATTTTTGACTTGAGCAGGCTGATGCTGCTGCTGATTTTGTAAGAATTTTTTCTTTTGACTTTAGTGTGCCTCATAACATTTCGTCAAGAAAGAGAATTATTCTTAGAGTCTTCTTGATTCTGTGCAATAACAAGCTGAAAAAAGTTGGCATTTAACCATTTGATCAATCAGTTTTCAGAGTTTTAAGGTGGAAGGAAACAAAGTATTGAAGTGAATGGAATTTTAACTGACTAAATGTTCATCAACAGGGGTGTACCTCAAGAAACAGTAATTGGTCCCATAATTTTCCTACTACTGACATCGTACCATCAATGAAATCAAGTGTGTAAGTCCTTCCAACTTGTTGATCCAATTTGCAGAAGTTCTAACTCTGAGCATACCTGTAAGTCTTGCAAGTAGCCATTTGTTGATAACTCTTCAAACTTTAACTTTATTACATATCACACACTCGTAAAAAATTACATGAGAACAACCAAAGCCGGGGACTTAAATGGCGTAAGGTCACCTAAAAAATGTGAAGAATTTGCATGAATAAAAGAAGACTTTAACTAAAATAATTACAATACTATTAAATAAAAAGAAAGAAAACGATCGTGGAAACTTACAACATAAATAAAATACAATACTTAACAACTAATTTCCAACACTTCAACAACTAATTATTATGACTACTAAATTTACAAGCACTCAATAAACATTGCAAGTTGTGACTGGTCTAATAATCATGAAGCTAGATTTGGCAATTGGCCGAATTCGTGCTGAAAAATGGCCATCGTGTACTTGCATGAGTCTTGGTAGGCCTGTGGTGACTCGCTAAAGGAAGAAATCAAGATGAGTGACAATTTGCTGTTTGTATGTTTAATTTTTTTTTAAATTTTTCTCTCGACCTCAACGGCAAACAATGGCGACGGAAGACCTGTGAGATGATAAAAAGGAAAAAAAGAAAAGCCCGTGATAAAATCCGTAAAACAATGCAAAAATCAATAAAGCATTTAAAGTAAAAAGAGCTAGTTTTATCGCTAGTTTTGTTGCCTTTGTATAGCTTAATAGAAAAGAGAAAAGTCTATGTTAATGATCTTGGGATTTGAGTTTCTAACTAAGCATGTACAAATTGTGTGAGAAAATCAATTATTAAAGCCTTTTAAGATGTTTCGATACAGTTTCTCGGAGACCATACTGATCTTTTTCAGTTGCGTTAAAAGTGATTTTATCCTTGTCCGATCGCCACAAAATTTTCAACAGTGATTGACTATGAATTGAAGTTTGTTAAAATGCGATTTTTGAATTCAAATAAAACTTAAACATATTTGAAACTTTATATTTTCAATAGCCGTGATAAGTTGCTTAATAAAAATGTTCTAAATAACTCAAATTAATCATAACTAGCGTCAGAAGGCTGCTTAATGTCATATTTCGATGCATGGAAATTTTGGTTTATTTCCTTTCTTGCGATCCTAAAACCTAACCTGTTTTCTTACGACCTGTCTAAGTGCAACTTTATTATGAATTTTAACTTTTAGCACTTTTCTGTATACCGTAAACTGCCGCTTATAAGCCCATCCACTTATAAGCCCCCCCCCCGTTATAGGCCCACCTACATGCAAACAAAAAAAAAAAAAAATCCGATTATAAGCCCATCCGGATATAAGCCCCCTCCAGTTTTTATTTTTGATTTTGTTTTGAAATTTAACTGAATTCGATTTATTGCTGCCTTTTTAAGGCTTCATTTGTAAGAGTAACAAATTTAAATCATACGTCGATCAACAGTGCTGTTGCTCATTTCGAAACGTTTTTTTTCATCCGCTTACAAGCCCATCCGGATATAAGCCCCTCCGTTTATAAGCCCACCCAAAACCCCTTACGAACTTGTATAAGCCCAGTGCTTGTAAACGGCAGTTTACGGTATCTCTAAAACGGCCACAGGAAGAAATAATAGAATTAATTTGTTTTAAAGCTTACCTAAAGATACACAAAAGAAGTATTTAAACTATCTTTAATTTATTTACTAAAGACATGAAATACACTTTTCATAGACTTTAAGGTGAAAATTAAAGGCTAACTTATGAACCATTTCATAACCGCTTTAAGTTAAGAAGAAAGGTAACTGAAAGGTTCATTTCATAAACTTTAGGAACTGCTCCTAAAGCGTTCTAAAGTAACATTTAATTAATCTTTTGTGTCAACTTTAGCATAGCTTTAATTTTTCAAAAATGCTTGGTGGTATATCTTTGCTTTGCCTTTAATTCTACTTTAATGTAGTATTAAAGACTCATGTCATCTTTAATTTGTCTTTAATTCTATTTTAATGTTTTATAAAAGCCCCAAGTCATCTTTAATTTGTCTTTAATTCTATTTTAATGTTTGATAAAGGCACCAGGTCATCTTTAATTTGCCTTTAATTCCATTTTAATGTTTCATAATACCCCGCGTTTGTCATCTTTAATGTGCCTTCAATTCGATCTATTTTAATGTTCATTAAAAGCCCCAAAGAAGAGAATAAGATAAAGGGATTAAAACTGGGGTATCTCAGCTTGTCGGAGAAAAATATCATAAGTTGAACACTGGAATCCATGACTGCATGGTTCCTCTTAAAGAAATAAATAAATACAGTGAAACAAACAAAATCTACTTTAAAATCAGTTTATTGTCAATAATGTCTAATTCTTATTTTGAAATTATTCACTGCCTACTTTAATGGAAAAACCACTTTGTGGTGAAAAAAAAAAAAAAAAAAAATAGACCAAGGACCACAACTTCAAAAAGTTAAAAGTACATCTTTATCAAATAGGTTTGATGATCGTTAATTTATAAAATAAATTCACAACACTGTTCATTGTCAACTTATGAAGATAGTCCTGCAATCACACAGATGAAGTGGTTGAAGAATCAAGATCTGATGCTTGAGCATTAAGGGACCATTCACGAATTTCAGGAGGGTCACGTTCTGACGGCTCCTTACAGTTCTAGGCACA